CCCCGGGCCGCTTCCAACCCCCGTCCGGGCCCCTTTCCCCACCCCCGGCCCATTCCTTCCCCGTGGCCGGTAGCCAGAGCGGCCGTCACAGCAGTAAGTGCACTCCCAGCTCGGAGATTCAATTTTAAAACACACATCAGGAATTTTAAATCTAATGGCATAAGACCAGCGTTTAGGCATTGTGTGTGTAACAATCTCCAGTGATGAATTCGTTAATGGATTTTTTGGTGGACTGAACGAAATAACCTGCTTGAATTCCAGTTTGTCATTATGGTATTTGCTGTCCAGAGTCGCGTGCTGCCTCCTGTCACGAGAGCCTGTGATGGCCGTAAAACTGGCAGAGGGGAACGCGGTCAAAGGACAGAACTTCACCCCTTGAATCTGTTTCAAAAGTATCCAGAGATCACTAAAACATTTGCTCTCTCTGAAAACACCCTCCAAGGCTGTTCTCATCAGCCCTCAGTTGGGATAGGCGTTGCATACACTGTCGCTTTGCCATCATACAGAAGATGTTCACAGGATTATCAGTACTGCTGGTATTAAAGATCATGTGGAAGTGAGACTGTCCCTTTAAGTGAGACTTTCTTCTGGTCTAATTTTTCTTCTGGGCCCCTCATGTGATGCTGTTTTCCTCCTTTTGGCGTGTTTTCATTTGAAGCTCAGCATCTGTTACTGAGCACTTTTAGTCTTCGGTTCTGAAAATACTACAGCCTTGTTTAAAATGCCCCTTAGTAACTGGCTGATTTTAATGTGTCTTCAGCGGAAATGCCGTTTTATGGAATGAGGACCTTAGTTATTAGTAGGTTCCCAATTAAAAGTATCAGTCGACAAATAAAAAGTCAGAGGTCAGAGCTCTTGAGTAGGTTGTATGGGACAATTTCCAATTTATTAAATTTTAAGAAGGACAACTGATATGAAATATTAATTATATCACATGGTTTCTTGTAGACAATCCCCATATGGCAGAACAAACCCCATGGCTCAGCACGCAGTGTTGTCAGGAGGATCGGATCAAACCTCCCTTTAAAACCCTGTCCCAGAGCAACCTTTGAGGTAAGTGGACTCGTAAGGGGTTTGGTGATGGCGCATAGGAAGCTGCTGCTCTAGAGCACGGCAAGGCACTGTCACAAGCTGCTTCAACAAGGGCAAGTGTAGGGTACTGCATCTGGGGAGGAATAACCCCATGCATCAGTACAGGTTGGGGGCTGAGCTCCTGGAGAGCAGCTCTGTGGAGAGGGACCTGGGAGTCCTGGTGGACAACAGGATGCCCATGAGCCAGCAATGTGCCCTGGTGGCCAAGAGGGCCAATGGCATCCTGGGGGGCATCAAGAAGAGTGTGGCCAGCAGGTGGAGGGAGGTCATCCTTCCCCTCTGCTCTGCCCTGGTGAGGCCGTGTTGTGTCCAGTGCTGGGCTCCCCAGTTCAAGAAGGACAGGGAACTGCTGGAGAGGGTGCAGCAAAGGGCTACAAAGGTAGAACATCTATCTTATGAGGAAAGACAGAGACTTGTGTCTTTTTAGTCTAGAGAAAAGAAGACTGAGGGGAGATCTTATTAATGCTCATCAATCCCCAAAGGGAGGGTGCCAGGGGGATGGGAACAGTCTTTGTTCAGCGGTGCCCAGTGACAGGACAAGAGGGAACGGGCACAGAGGTGACCATCGGCAGGTCCATCTCCACCTGAGGAGGGCCTTCTCTGCTGTGAGGGCGGCAGAGCAGTGGCAGAGGCTGCCCAGAGAGGTGGGGGAGTCTCCCCCTCTGGAGCCATCCCAAACCCGCCCGGACGCCGTCCTGTGCCACTGCTGGAGGTGCCCCTGCTCTGGCAGGGGGGGGCACTGGGGGGGGTCCAGAGGGACCTTCCAACCCTGACCATTCTGTAATTCTGTGATTCTGTCCACCCTGCAGAGTTGTATTCACAAAACTCATGTAGCAGTATAGAAAGGTGGGTTTTTTAATTCTTTGCTTTTGAAATTCTGTTCTTGTAAATTGATCATTGTCGAGCAAAATCCCTCCTCAAGTAGTGTCTGTGGACTGGGTTAGCAAGCTAGAGGAGACAGAAACAAGGAGTTGCAGAACCAGTGCTTCACTGTATGACCTCCAGCAAGCCACATGCCCTCTGGGTCTGTTTCCTAAACAGTAAACCAGGGTTTGTGGAAACGCTTACGTCACTATTTAAGCTCAAGGGCAGCACTGGGACTTGCAGTGGCAAAGTGTTGCACGTGGCCTTGGCAGTGGGCTAAGCTGTATCAAGTGTCCCTTTGCTGCCTTGCTGCTCAGCCTCACAGAGCGCAGCAATGCACCTAAAAACACGTGCAGAAGCCAACAGATGGAAGCGCTGTGTTTCTATAAGCCAAATGGTGGTGTCACACATCTGACAGATGCAGCTTGCTGACCTGGTGTGGAGGGTAAAGGCTCTGACAGCCTGTGCAGTGCATCTGGGGTGGCTTCAGCAGATGGGATCACTGTCTTCTTAATGCAACTTTCTTCTTCTTAGGTTCTACCAAATGTTTCAGATCTCTATTTAAATGACGTCCCTCCAGTCCCCACCTTGGCAGACATTGTGTGGATAGCAGCAGATGATGAAGAAACATATGCCAGAGTCAGGTTGGTTTCCTCTTTGTGTCTGCTGCTCCTTATTTTTATACACTGGTTTATTTTGCACAGCATAGGCCAGACATTGATCAAATGCTCACAACTTCCAGTCCCCAAGGTCTGATCTGGTGCCAGTTGAAAGACATTTTCCCCAAGAGCCAGGAGAAAAAAAAAAAAAATAGACAAAGGACCCTGGGAGGAATTCTGTAGGAAGTGCTAAGAGCCTGTGCCATACCATATTTTACTCACTGAAAGATCTGTGCAGAGAGACCTCCCGATCTGTGGTATTTTCTGGTTAGAAAGTTGAAGAGTTGAGTTCTCCTGGGATTGAAATGCTCTGTCCCCAGGAGTTTGGTTCTGGTCCGTTTAACTTTTGTCCTTAAAGCAGGGCAATAGTAATAGGTATCTTGTGAAAGATAAATTGGACTTTGAAATCAGAGGCAAAAGTTAATGGGTAAGTGACATTTCCTACGTGTACCCAGAGCATATGGAGACACAGTTACTGGGAGAGAAATGACTTGAAACCATGCGAGCATGCCCAAGCTTTTGTCCCTGCGTCCTCTCACCGCATCTTGTGCCGTTGGGTCATGATTTCTGTGACAGACTTTCTGTTCCTTGTAACGCAGAGAGAGCACATACAGTGGCACAGCATATCTATATGGTGATACACAGATTTAGTGGTGCAGAGGCTTAATTTGTTGGGTTGAAGGTGTCTGCTGTCCTGAGGTGGAGGCAGAGTGTTGCTGAGCATTGTTGTCACAGAGGGGTCTGGACCTTGTAAATGAGCAACAGGTTTTTGTCCTGTAGAAGTGACACTCGCCCGCTGAAGCACAAGTGGAAGCCGAGTCCCTTCACTGTTATACAGCGAAACGCTTCAGTTCCCAACCTGAGGAAGCAGGAGGAGAAGCTGCTCGCCTTGAAGAAACCTGGTTTACCAGCACTGAGCCGAACAACAGAGCTCCAGGATGAGCTGAGTCACCTTCGGAGTCAGATAGCTAAAATAGTCGCTGCAGAGTCAGGTAGGAATACTATGAGCTTTTTGTTGTTGAATGAGAAGGGCTGGGGTAGCGAACCGTGTTATTTCTTGTGTACAAACCAGACTTGGGTGTTGTTTTTCCAGCTGAGCTGTGGCTCCCGTTGGTGGGATGCCATCTTTGGTGTCAGCTCAGTGCTCGTTCTGTGCTTAGATGTTTACATCTGTTTCATTGGAGGATTCCAGCTTGTTTTTAAGAAATACCACGTGCTGCTTTGTGACTGCATTTGATCTAGAGGCCGGCTCATCTCAAACACCTTGTTTCGTGAAAACATTGGTGTATTCTTGCCGTTCCTGCTCCATATGGGCCCTGAGCACGAGGGTTATGTCTTGATTTGGGTAGGAGTGAGATGTAGGTGTTTGTTTCTGTTGTGAAAATGACAGTGCCATTTCTGTAGCGAATGAGGTATTTGGGGAAAAGCCTAGCTGAACTGCTTTCTTTATGTCCTTTAGTAAATTTGTAAGCTATGTTTTAGCTGCCAAACTGAACCATGAGGAGAGACTTATTCTCTTCCTTTCCTGGCTTTTCCTGTATACTCAGCTCTGAAAATATTGAGATATTTGGTAGGATCCAAATTCAGTGGTTCTACAAGTCTTGCTAAAACCACTTGCTGGTTTAGAGTGTGGCAACTAGTAAGGTAGAAATACCTTGATATCTATTTACGGAGTATTCAGAAGGCAGAGTTGTTGATCTCCTAACTCAAAAACATTGAACAGTTTTGCAAACTAAAGGAATTTAGTCCTTCTTGAAGACAGTTTTTCTTAAAAGCTGCATTTCTTTTATGCAGAATACTTTTGCCAATAATCAAGGCAACAGCTGTGTTATGGCTGCTTTCCAGAGGAAAAGAAGGACCTATAATTCTTCCCATTACTTTAAAAAAAAAACCACCACCACCAAACAAGATTGTGCCACACTTGAGATGATATCAGGCGGGTTAATTCCTGTTTATGATGGGTAATAGTGGCTGATGAAACCGTCCTTATCCTATATCTGAAAGCAAATATTTTTTTTTTTCATTCTCAGATTGCTCCTTTGCGCTGTACTGTGTAGTGTGTGCACGAGATCAAATCTTTGTGATCTACAAAAGATGATGTGGTTGTCTGATTATTGTAGCCCCAAGGGACTTGCAGCTTTAATGGCTGATTATATTCGATTCAGCTATCCAGGAGCCATAAATGCATTTGAACATGAAGCAGAGTTGTGGTGTTTGATTTAGTTGAAATGCTGGTTTCTACATGGGAGACTTGGGGTTCTTTTTCAGTTCTGTGACGGTCAATGGACTCGTAAGAATCTATTTGATATAAATAGTGTAAATATATATACCACCACGTGAGAATATATATATTTTTTTGGCATGTGAAGTTGTGTTTAGACAAGATATTTGTTCACTTCCGTGGTAAATGGCTGTTGTGAGATAATGCATGTGCTGGTGTTTCGTGTCGTCTTTGGTGCTGTCACAGTACACGGGATCCCGTGTGCCACTCTGGCAGCAGCATGGTGAAGTGAAGCCTCTCTGGGGGTGAGGGAGCCGCATTGCCCTCAACTCTGCAGGGAATAGGCATAAAACAAGGCATCAGAGAAGCTGCGTGTATCCTCTTTCTTCTTTATGCAAGATGAGAGGAACAACCAAATTGGAATGAAGAACAAGGGAAATTCTGTGATTTTTTTTTTTTTTTTTCCTTCTAAGTGCTGTCTCAGCTCTACAGTTGCTTAAGCTGTGTGCTCGAAAAGTCTGCTTTAATTCAAGGAGGGTAATAATGAGGAAAATTAGAGATCCAGATGGGAGAAAAATGATTTAATCATTTAATACCTTTTTCTCTCCCTCTCTACTCAGCAGTGTGCCTGGTTGTTATCAGCTGGCATTTGAGAACAGTTTGTATTGACTTCACGTCCTCTAAGTCAATAACGGGGAGCAGTGATTTAGGGCTGAGCTGTGGCTCGGTAATCTGATGAAGGAGATAACTATTTAGCAAGCTTAGTTTGGAAAGATTGATGTCAAAAAAGAAATATTGTACAATCTGCTTTATTATATACTGTTAGAGAAATCCCTTAATTGGAAATTGATAACTATCTACAAGTTTACTCTTGAGGCCAAGGGCATTAGTGCTTTCAGGTACAGTTTGTTTTCAATATAGGGAGGTGCTCTCAAGGAGATGTGCACTGAGCATTTTTCTGGGTTTGTAGTTGCTTTCCCTTAAGGTTTTACACTGGAAATACCTAACTCGTTTTCACTTAATAACACTCGGAATTTATATAGCTGTTCTTCCCCTCGCTGCATTTTAAAGCATGAACAAATAAATCCCATGTGCCCTGTGGGATAGGTGGATGCTATTCTCATTGTACAGATGGTGATGGAAAGCCAAATGGGTCAGAAGGACTGCAGTCACACAGCGAATTGCTGGGACCATCTAGTGTAAAATGCTGGAGCTCCTGAACCAGCTCTGCATTCTCACCGGGGTAGTGGTTACAGGGGAAGGAGTCCAAAAGGAAAAGAAAGGCAAACAGTTCTCAAGGCGATGAAGAAAGAGAGGAGAAGAGTTAAGACAATTAAGACTGACATTCTGACACAGGCTCCCTCTGTGACCCTGAGCAGCAACTAAATCTCTGTTCTTCCATTTCTTATCTGTAAAAACGGAAAAAGTAAACATTGCCTGACTGCTGCAGGGACGGGGTGCAGTGTGTGAGCTGGAGGGGTGATACAGTGACGGGCACGATAGGAATAGAGATACGTTAGGGGATTGGTGGGATAAAAGATACTGGAGAAGGTCTTGTGTTGCAACATGGTGTCATAGGAAGCAGAGTGGACATGGAGGGTAACAATATGATAAATTTGTTTTCTTAGAGCATGGGGGAGGCTGGCTGACGATGCCTCTTGATTTATATTCTGTTTGTTTGGGGGAAAAAAATATCTACATGGTTTGGCATTAGCTTATCTATCCACCTATATTGTTTTCTTTTTCAGCTTCTGCTTCATTAACACCAGATTTACTATCTCCAGGAAGTTCAAATGCATCTTCTCCTTTACCTTGTTTTGGACCCTCTTTCCAATCTACAACTTCCTTTGTCATTAGCGATATCACAGAGGAGGAGGCAGAACTCGAAAGCCCCGACCTCCCGTCGGTCTCCATGCTTTGTTCTACAACCTCCGAGTGTTGTAAACCAGAACCAAAGGATCCTGACGAGGAAGATTCCGTGTCTCTTTCAAAGGCCAGCAGTTTTGCAGACATGATGGGCATTCTTAAAGACATTCATAGGATGAAGCAGAGCAAAGACTTGTAAGTACTTCCTCAATTCTCCTGATTTTATATCTTTTTGGTGCTGGTGGTCAAATCATTGTGGACACTGGACACTGGATTCACTGCTTGTTGATGCTGCTCTATATTCATGATTCACAGGGGGGAAATACCTGTTTGTAGCAGAACTTGCTAACCGTTAATGTTTCTGGGTTGGTTTTTTTTAATGATGGCTTACCTGCCTGGATAGAAAGCAATGGAGGGGCACTTAAACCAATTAGCACCATGTTTGGCTGCTTCAGCTTGTTCACCTGAAAAAAAACCTTAACTTTTCCCAGATGAAAACCAGAATCGTGTGTATTGGCAACTGTCCGTGGGGGCCGCACTGCTCGCTCTGCTTGCAACGGTTCCAGGTGCTCAGACCATCCTGCAGCCCCAAGCAGTTGGGAAGCTCGGCACCTTTTCCGTGTGGCACATGCAGGAATTAACACACGGAACTTTTCAGCTTCTCAGCTTTTGCCTCTGGCCCAGCACTGAGCGTGGGCAGCGTGAGTTTTCACTTGTCTCTTGATGAGTTTACACATTGATCATGAGAGCGCCTCAGGCTGCTGACGTGCCAGCTGCTGCATGGCTGAGACAGGATTCTGCCCCGCTGATAAAGTAGTTTCTTTCCTGTGAGCCTTCATCTCACCTGTGAAATCACAGTGATAAAGTTCAGTTTCCACGTTTTTCAGCCTGAAGACCTATCCAGCCGTTATGTTGTGCAAGTAAGATTCTGGGCCAAAAATAACATGTTGCATGTTCACCATTTCTTTGCCTAATTCAGTTTAAAAGAAATTAAATTCTCAGCACTGAAAGAATTATATAGTCAAATGAGAGAAATACATTCAGCTTGCATGCAAAACGTCAGTATGGTATTACACATCCATAATTCACACTGTACCCTTTTGCTCTGGTTTTCCTAAGTGTTAAATATTACTGAAAGCTTAAACGCTCACTTGCTTTATATAAATGCCTATAACCTTTCTGGAGGGTGAGTAGAATTCATGGACCACAGGTGAATTGCTCCTCTTCTTTCTTTCTGTCTGTTGCAAAGCAGTGCTTTGGGCATCCAAAAATAATTCTGCATTATTAGTCAAAGGGAGAGAGAATTCTCAAGAAAAAATACCTGCAGTTGTGTGCGACTCGAGAGGTTTGCGTTGGGTTTCAGGTAACTTACCTGTGCCATACTCATGGTCATTCAGGGGCTCTGTTGAATCCGGAAAAACTTGCAGATGCTTCATGTTGTGACATGTAATGTTTTAACTTTATCAGAAACACGTGTACCTGTAGGACTAAGCATTCACGTGTAACAACATAATTATCAGTCTTCCAATTAGTGCAGACTGGTATGTCAGCCTTCTATGGAAGCAGACTCTTCAGGGTAAGAAAACTGCCACCATCTGTGCCAGATGAAGACAGGGAAACATGCATTATTCGGGGGGAAAAAAATCCACTTGTACAAATACAGATTACGGTAGGGAGATCCGAGGCACTTCTTATCCACGCCTGGCTATGCCAGCAGGGCTCCTGCCAGCCCTGGCGGAATCGCGAGGAGCCGGGCGCTGACTGGGGGGAGGCCCTTTACGAAGCCTTTGAGGAGGGCTGAAGCAAGTCCATGAGGCAGAAACGAAAACGTGACTTGTATGTCAGAGTGTTTGTTAGCCACAGCCCGGTTTGCATGCTGGGCAGTTAGCGGGTGTTGTGCTGAAGCTGGGATAATGCGCTGTCTGTGTTACCCTTCTGCATGTGGCAGTTGTGGGGTGTGTGAGTGTGTCCTCAGCAGCCACGTAGCTGATCCTGCGTGAAAAACAGCGTGTAGGTGACAGGGAACGTTGCAGTGTAATGGGTCACCATTTGACTTCAATTTCCTCAACAGAATGTATGAGAACAGCTAATAGTGGGTGACGGCGTTTGATCTTGCCGTTACCGTGGGAGAGAAGCTGTGTGCATGAGGGGGAGGGAGAGATGACTTGTGCACAAGGGCAGGATTTACCAACAGCACTGATTTTAACGTTACGGGGGACGGGGGAGAGCAAGGATTTTGTACTGTGGAACACTTTGGGGGGGGGGGGGGGATGGCTGCCAAACGCCTCCTCACTGGGGTACAGTGGGCAAAGGAACTGAATCACTGGGACCCCTTTCTCCTCTTGCGATGGCGTGACTGATGAGCTGGGTCACCCTCGCTGCTGCTGCTGCTGCTTGCGTCAAGGCCAGGAATGCTTTAATAGAAAAGCTCGAGACCGTTTCTTGCTGGGGCTGAACTGTTTTCCTCTCATCTCTGTCTCAGCCTCTAACTTGCCTCCTACGTGCAACAGTGACGTTTTAGGATATGGTTATTACAGCTTAATTAAAGCCGTGTGAAGAGTCATAGGTAGTTGAAAAATTCCATTAAATAAATCACTGCTGTTCATTACTTGATGAGCTTTAATTCCTAGACACAATCCTCCAGTGTCCGTGAGTTTTATGAGCAGCCCCACACTTCTACCGCTGCGCTCACTGTGCGGATGTGCTGTTAGGTTATGCCAAGCGGATTTGCTGGTGTAGATACGCAGCGCTGGTAACACTTAAAAGGATCATGTACTCTTTAAGTGGATGAAGGTACCAAATGACGCTTAACGAGATAACTACATAGATGCTTCTCTGATGCTCCTACTTAGGACTCGGTGCTTAAACACAACCTTGGAAGCTTCAGGAATGAGTGAGAAACGCTTGCAGAAATGTGCGTGTTTCGACAGATGTGAACTAGAGCCTGTGGCAGTGTCTGTGGTGCCGCCTGCGCGGGCAGTGGCTGAGTGGTGTGCCTGCTGAGCCACGCGCTCGGCCGGGGGGGAGACGAGTAGCGTGAGGAGCTGCTCGGACTGTGAGTACACTTTTATTTGTAAGTACTACTGGTACGGGGCTGAACAACTTAATCTTTCCACGGTTATTTCCTCAACCCTCGAGCGGCTGTGAAGGGCTGAGACACTGAAGGTGAACGCTGGTGCTCTGTGGTCTGCTGCTGGTTGTGCCTCGCTGTAGGACTTTGTACGCTTCGGTAGGAGAGGTTCCTTTTCTCACCCCGGCGTGGGTTATCTGTCTCTTCACTCATCCTGGGAGAGCTTTGCCTTGTGATCGGCACAGCTCGAGGCTGTGTCAGTGCTGTCTCTCCTCACTGCTGTCAGTGTCGCCTCCTCCTCTGGCTGCCTCGGTTTGCCCCCTTCCTCTTCAGAGGCAGCTGATGGACACGTGGGTAACTCTGAATTCTCAGGTTCACCCGTGTGGAAGGAACAGTCTGGGGAGGGCTCCAGATCCTCTACTGCAGCTTCCTCTGCACCCTTTTCTGAAGGAACAGTTCTGTCCGGCTGAAATCAAAGGCATGATTCTGGCTACAAAATCATCTTTTAAATAGTGATGCATTTATGCAACTGTAAATTAAGAACATGTATTAGACAAATCTGACGTAGCACTAAGGGTTACCCATGAGCAGCTCAATGGCATCTTACACAGCTTACTTAAAGCCTTCACTGTTAATTTGAGAACACGCCCCTCGTGAACATGGATAGATATACTTTGGGGGGATTTTTTCTCTTAGGAATTTTTAAAACACCCGTAATGTTTTCTAACCAAGGGAGGACTTCAGCTATAAAAAAAAAGTTAAGCTCTGAAATTATTATTGCAGGTTTCAAACAAAACCTTAGTGAGCAATTCAAAGATCTGAGGGGAAAAAATGGGTTTTAGCTTCTTGTAAAATAAGCTACTAACACTTCTGCAGTGAACTGCTCGTCTGAACTTGTTGAAAGAGGCAGGGTGCTCTGGGAATAGAATGCTACAGAAAAAGTCAAGCGCGGTAGCTAAGCAGAGGGAAACGTATACCAGCCCTCCTCTAAAATACCTGCAATTCCCTGTATTTACATATAAAAGTATATATCCGTTGTATAGCAAAATTAATTAAAAATTAGTTCTAGGACTTCAACTCAAACGCCACACCACTTGTAGATTTATACCGAGGGGATGTAGGCTGTAAATAGCTCGTGATGTTTTATTTTACTTACCTGTTATTGACACAGTTGAATAAAAATTATGAAGAGCTTTGGTGCTGAGATTTTCAGGATGCCCCTTGATCCACAAACTGAGCTCCAGGTTTTCTAAAGCCAACACGAAAGGTCTGAATTTTTAGCTACTTTTTGTTGTTTTGTGGTGTTCTTGCACTTCCTCCACTCGTGACAAAAGCCGATGATAAAGGCTGCAGAAAAACACTTTAAGGACTCTAAGCAGAGCTGTAAGCTGTCAGCTCTGGCACATCTCTTTACTCGTTTGCTGTGCTTTTGTCTTCCATGTAGAAACCGAAGTTCAGTGAAGGAGGAAGACCCCGCTGTTCTTATCGCAGAAGTTCTGAGAAGAAAATTTGCCCTAAAGGATGAAGATCTGTCCATGAAGGAGAAATGATGTTACTGTCATTAAACTCTGTAAGCAAAAGTGTTATGCTCCCAAAATTTTCTCCACAGTAGCTGCCTTCCTAAGGATTGAGCCTTTTGCCTCTTTTAATTAGAAATGGTTTCTGCACCGGACACTTACTTAGGAAAGACCCTATGGATTTGGTGTGTTTTCCATGTATTGTTATATTTAAGAAAAAACTTTTTAAGAAGATGGAAATTCTTTTCCACCTGTATTTTGATGTTGATTATTGATAAGGATCTTCTGAAGAGTGCAATGAGTGTTGCTGGATGACGTTCTTTCTACCTACAATTTTCCTTAAGTTCAAATTAAGCATTAACTTACAAGGGCCTTGTTACAATATAACTAGTTACCATTTCCAGTGTAAACGGGTGTCAAACATCCCGTTCTTTCTCTGTTCTGAGTATGGTACAGAGTTACTGAGAATAAGCTAATGAACGCTTGCACGTTTTCAGTGTTCGGGAGGTTGTTGAACCACAGTGGTAAAAGGCGTCTTCCCACTAACTCTGCCTGACCCGACGGCAGTCGATGATCAAACCACTCGCTCACCCCTGCGGGATGTTGCCTGGTTTTAGGATACCCTTCATCTTTCTCAACTCACAAATTATCCCCACGGTTGCATGACAGAATGGCCTTAATTTCTTGCCAGCAATGTAATGTTTCATTAATAGTCCTTGTATTCAGATAATGTATTTTATTTAGCATTCAAAAGGTCTATTTATTGAACCACCAATGCTAAGAACCGAGCACCCACCACAGGAGCTGTGATCTGAGAAAAGGGAAGAAGGAACTTGGCATTGTCTGTGGCTACAGTTCTCACTGAGGAGGAGGTTTCCTTCAGCTACACATTCTCTGCAATGTTCCTCATGGCTGTATTTAAAGTATGATTTTTTTCCTTTATATAAAATGGAGCCTTAATAAGACAGTGGTTGTCCTTGATATTATTCATGTGCACATTATTTGCACACATAGCAGCAGCAGTGCCTATAGTGCAGAGAGGTTGGGGTGCGCGTGGAATTTCGGCTGCTGCAGCGGACGTGTTGGCTGGTGATGCTGCAGATGAATGTACTTGGATACCAAAGATTCTCCTAATCCACTGTGGCCTCGGCCCTTGAAAAATTAAACCATCATCCCCACCTTAAAAGTGAGAGAAGAGGCACTTGTATTGTCTCTGGCCACTCAGTAGGTGGGAGCAGAAATAGCCTTTACAACTTAATCAGCTTTACAGGGAGTTGCTACAGTTTTTCCCCCCTCAGATGCACACGAAGAGACCCTGGAGGATACAATCGTTCTCCCTCTGTCCCAATAATAAGGCTCCACTGTGTAACCCTTTGGCAGGAATACACCTGCCTACGGACAAGGCGGAGCTGTAATGAAGAGTCCCTGTTCCTGGGAACGTGCTCCATGTGCAGGCTGGATGTAGGTGTGTATCAGAGCAGTTAACTTCTGGGCTATGATGTAAATCCAGTTTGGTCTGTTGTACTGAGAGTAAAGATAGCTTAAATGGCAACACCTGCAGTGTTAAAGACATACTCAGCACTTTATAAAAAAAAAAAAATAAAAAAACTGGGTGGTTGCTGCTGACAAAGGAGGCTGTTGTTCTGGAGTGTGATCGTGGTCACAGATGGCTTCTGCTGTGTGTGACCCCTGGGGTTTCTGAGCAGCTGGTCCCTGCACTTCAGGGACAGATACAATCTAAAGCACACCCATCCAAAATGCTGCGTGTCCAAAGCAGGGGGTTATGTTGAACAGGCCCTACAAGCAGCGTACAGGAAGCACTGCCGCAGCTGCCATACGCAGAAAACCCAGTACTGACTGGTGGTCAGTGCAGCCCACAGCGCTCACTGCTCCGCTCTTCACCTCAGCAGGGCACAGAGGGACTCAGCCTGAGGGCACAGCCCACTCCAGCCACGTGTGTCCCCGCCTGTGAAAGAGCTGTGAGTCCAGTGTCAGGACTGCAGTTCAGACTCACCCAGAACAGACCTGCTGTGACAATCCCTCCTCTTTGTCACAGTCTTCCTTGCTGTAAACCTCTGGTAAGTCTGGCAACAGCAGTTAAGTGCTGTGATTCCACCCGCAGCTAGCAGAGGCGCAGCTTTCACAGCTCCAGACGCACAAGCTGAAAAACATGAACCTCCCCTTGCTGCCATACACGCCAGCTGTCACGAAAAGGGGCTGGTGCGACCACAGTCCTCAGCTAAGCAGAATGCAGCTGAGCCAAGTGCTTCCTCGAGGCCGCTAAGGTGAAGCAGATGGTGTGGTTCCTGAGCTGAGCCTAGAAAACCTTTACATTTGGACTTCAGGATCCCGAGAAATACAGCCATGTGGGCTTTGAGGCTGACCAGAACCATGACACACATCAGCCCCAGGCAGTACCAAAGCCAGGCCTTAGCCACACACGAGCTGTAATTGTGATTGAAACAGTCAAACCGTTACAAACATATGCCTTCAAAGCTTTATTTTTATTAAATCAAAATTTCAGAGAACAAAGAGGTCCTGCCTGTTGCATGGGTCCACTGCATGTGCTGGCTAGACCACACGTACAGAAAGAATGGGTACATTTAACTAATTCTGACTGCTTGCTTACAAAAAAAATGCTTTCCTGAGGCTTCACAAGCGGTCATTAGGGGACCTATTCAAGGTCACTTACCAGTGTTTAATCACTCTGTTCCCTTCCGAATCCTGCGTGAACAGTAAATCATAGCACACATCCAGCTGCTCCTCCCCTGGTTTGCTCAGGCTCCTGTTTGCAGCGTGGCTGGACCAGCCCCGGTAGGGAGAGTTTGGCCGCTGCCTGTGAGCACTGCCGTTGTCCTTGCGAGGAGATAGGAGGCTCTGGCCATGGTGAGAGATTACTCTGTTCCCCTCGGAATCCTGGGTGAACAGCTGCCTGCAGGGACTGCTCAGCCCCCTCTTACTGCCCCATCCCTCCTCGGCTGAACCGGCACCAGCGTTCAGGCTGCGCTCCCTCAGAGGCTGTGCTCCAGCTGGTCTTTGTGGAGATGAATAGAAGCCAACAGCCCAGGTACCGTCCCGCGGTACAGTAGGATTTATATTCTCAGTCTCAGTGAAATCAAATAAAGAATTAACACTACTTGATTGGTGTGGTTTCTTACTCTGGTTTGCACCAAGCCTTGGCTGGAAATCAAGTCCGGTCTGTGCCTCCTCTGGGAGCGGCTGGTCCTCTCGTTCGTTTGTCTCGCACTCTGACGTGACCCTGCCACGTGCTGAAACTGTTTCTCCAGCAAATAAATCGGACACATTTCTGTGAGCGATGATCCGGTTGCCCTCTGAATCCTGGGTGAAGCTGAAGAAGCAGCAATCCTCTCCTGCCCCACAGGAGGCTTCACTCTTGCTGTGGGACTCTGCTTGTGACACTGAAGAGTCTGGCACAGTAGTCGGTGAGGCCGGTGCTTTCTGTGCACGACGCTGGGGTGTACCCTGCACCGTCCCCACCTCTGCTCTGAACAGTTCTTTCTGGGCTTCCTCCATCTGTGGCAAAGCCAAAATCTTCACAGGGAAATCAACCAAAGAAATACCTTTTTCTTTACAATCTTTACCTGGGATGAAAGGAGGTGGCCTGGCATTTTCTTTTTCATCTGAAAACAACACGGATTTGGTTAAAGCCAGAGCTGGCACACAGGCTTCTCAGGGTTAGTCGCTATCCACAGCACCATTCCTTGATGCCTGACTCAGAACTGCCCTGTGGAGGGGCCCTGCCACCTCCTCACAACAATCTACATTTGTGCTGCTGAGGCTGCGACTGAATGGCAGCCTAAAACCCTGGAGTAGTTCCAAAAAGTGAACTTCCCTCAAGTGAGATGTAAGAGCTGTGTCTGCAGTTGTGGCAGTCTCCAGCTTCTCTGCCTTCCTCCTCTCAGCTTTCCAGGCAGTTCACCTATGACATTCCCTTTAAAAGCAGCAGCTCAAGAGTTACAAAAAAAAAAAACAAACCACACCCACAAAACTCCACAGTGAAACGTCTACAGCTCGCCTTCATCGCCGGAAGGCGTCAAGTTCCACATTTGCTTCTGAAACCATTTAATATAAAATACAATATAACTTCTCAATATAAGAGAGCTCATCCTCAATTCAGGTTATGCTAACAGAAAAAAAATACAAATAAGAAATACTCCAGCATCTTAAATCCTACAGCCTTCTGACAAACAGCAGCAGCATTCAATGAATCCAAACACACACAGTGAATAAGTGAATGCAATTCACTGAGGGAATGAAACAAAAAAAAAAAAAAAAAAGGAGAAAGCACACAACACATTAAAAAAGAGGAGGAATAACAAATTCAAAGCAAATACTGTCAATGGCCCTGTCACAACACAAAAATTGTCAAATAATTAAATTGTACAATTTATGTAATGGTTCCTCTCATCTCTATATTGCTAAACGAGTTCAGTGGTGATGAACTAGCCCTCACACAACTCACAATATACTAACAGCAACACAATCCTACACTACTGGTTTCTGCATCTGTTTCTTTTCTCTCCATATTTGTTAATTTGAGACCCACAGACAAATCCCAGTTTCTTGTATTCGAGAGCATAAAAGCAGCCTCAAAAGCTCAGAGGCTGTGAGCTGACTTAATTAGCTTAAATATTCCAGTTCCCTTGTGATTCCTTCATCGGTTCAGTTCACATTAAACACTGCATTCTTTAGAAAAGGCTCTATCCAACCCTTCATAAAAAGCTTTCCTCGCACACCTCCTGCTGACTCCCCTTGCAGGGAGCTTGTTTGAACCAAGTAACATTAATTTTCACTTCTGGCTATAATTCCAAGGGCATTTAAATAACAATTTAGGGCTGCTATCGTTTGGAACAAACCTGGCACGTAACACCCTGGACGCTGCACCTTCCCTGGGCAGCGAGAGCTGCCCACAGGACATGGCCGGGTTTGGTGCTCCTGCCCAGACCACACCCTGCCCCAGCCCAAGCAGCGTTCCCAACTGGATTGTCCTTTGTGCCATACCGACCAGCAACCCAGACCTGGACATTTTGCTATCTGGACGGTTTGGATCAGCGCTCGGGCAGAGCCAGGCTTCCCAACGTTCCTCTGAAAACTCCAGTTTTGTAGGGAGTAATGCCTGCTGCGTTAAGAGTCCAGATTGCTCTCCAGTGAAGACTGGCTGTGACTGCTGTTACTTGCACAGTAACGCTCTTAACACTGTAAAAGGTGCCTGCATTTAGATTAACCATCACAATAAGATTATTTCTGGGAATTCAAGCCTTTAACCTCTTCACTAGAAAATGTATTTTTCTGCTTAGTAAAGCTGCCAAGAAATAAAGCGAGATGATTTCCTATTACAGCCTGAAACCACTTTCCTACACGGGCAGAGGCTGTTCCACAGTACCTGTCCGTGCGCTGAAGAAGGCAGAGATGGTGGTTTGCTTGGTGCGTGGCTGAGAGGCGCTTGTCTGCGTGAAAGCGACCGAGGTGTGTTTCCATTCCAGAACTCGACTAGATGCCTTTGGCTTGGCTACGAGAGACTGGGGAGGGAAAGAAACAAGTGGAAAGCGACCATATGCCATTAAAAACAATTCTACCCTTCTTCCAGCATCGTGGCACGGTTCCCACCTTTGTTAAATGCTTCAGCTCTCCCTGTGGCACCATCACAGAACGCTGAGGTGGGAAGAGGCCCGTGGAGGTCACCTTGTCCGCCCCCTGCTCAGGCAGTGTCACCCACAGCAGGATGCTCAGGACCAAGGCGGCGGGTGGCCCGGCCCTGCCACGGCCTCCGAGCTCTGCCAACCCCATCCCGCCCCTCTCGCACCTCCCGAGACCCTTCTCTATCGCACC